TGCTCGGTAATTTGATTTCAGATTTAACTTTTTTTCTATTTTTATTTTTAATACCATGATTTCAGATTTAACATTTTGTTCAGTTTTCTTTCTTTGGCCCATTCAAATTTTCTGGTTTCTTTACCTGAAACATGATTTCCTTTATTATTTAAAAAAATTATTCTTTCTAATTAAAAAACACTCAGAGTTTCCTAAGTGAGAATGGCTTTGGAATTCATCTCACCCCCTGGCCTTATTTTTTAGGTGGGTAAACTGAGGCTGCAAGAAGTGTGGTGCCTCTGTAATGGTCCTCAAGCTATTTGGTGGCAGGGCCATAGCAAGAGACTTTGTCCATCCTCCACTTTATCCCAGTTCTTTCCATGAAGTGCTGATGCCTCTGAGATTTTTATAAATGTGGAGGCACCACGTCCATGAATTTGACCGCATGGACCCACCTTCCTCTCCATAAAACTAAGCATTCTTCAATTGGCTCAACAGCAAATGTACCTCACACTGCATCTGTCTCCACCTGCTTTGACCAGGTTATAAGGCCCATGGCAGAGTTAAAATCCAATGGCACACATCACAGGGTATGTGCCAGGACGTGGGGCAAAGTGTCCTACCAGATTTCAGCACATTTTCGTGTAAGATTCCACTGTGTATGGGGACATGAGTGGGGCACTGCCCGGTCTGCAGCTGGCCCCACCCCTCGGCTCATCCTGGTCCAGCTACATGGTTAATGAACAACATGGCCAAATGAATGAGTGGAGATAGGGTCAGCCTGTTTCAAACAAAGACTCTTTTTTTCTAAACCACCCTAAGCATTTGTGGGTTTTCCTTCTCATCTATCATGACTCATTCATTTGTTGATTCTAAAATGGAAGGTGGTTATTCTGTTCAATTGCAGTAATTTTTCCATCAAGGAAAAGAAAGAACTGATTTTGCAAGCAGTAACTTCAAGTGAAGGTGAATAAGTTTAGTTCCTGGGAAGTTTTCACAGGGAGGAAAAAGTGTGAGGTGGAATTCTTCAAACCCATCTCTAGCATCAGATGTCAAGCATCAGATGCCCATAAATGTTGTCCCAGAGGGGAAGGTGTGAGGGCTTCACAGGCCTGCTGTGGAGATGAGCCTCGGTCAGGAGCTCACAGTCAGGACAGAGACCTCCTCTCAGGTCCAGGAGTGAGTGTGGCGGCCCCTCGCCCCAGCCCCACTGGCAGCTCTCTGCCCCTTTCCCTGTGAACTCTTCTCCGTGGCACACACTGCCATCTGACACTCTCTGTATCTGCCTTGTTTACAGTCAAGTTCCCTTTACTAAACCGTAAGCTTTCTGTGGCTGTGGGTACTTGTCAATTTTGCTCCCTGCTGTATTCTCATCACCCGGAACAGTGCCCTGTGCACACAGAGCTGTCCGACAGTTAATACACAAGCGAATAAACAGTGAATAAGTGAAGACAAGGGAAAAACAGAAAAGATAAATGTTTAACAATGGGGATATTATACATCCATTAAAAATGGATCATGGATTGTACTCCAAACCATTTCTAGTGATTATATCTGGGGCAGGGCTTAGGGATGGTGGGGTGCCTTTATTTTTTCCTATTAGGTCATTTGGAAATATTGTATTACTTGGTATTTCATTTTTTAACAGAAAAAGAAAAATACATTATTTCATGTGGAAAAAGGCCTGAAGGTTTTTGTAACGGCAAGGAAAAATTATTTTGAAGCAGGGTTAAGTTTTTTTTAAAAAGTCAAGGTATAAACCTTTAGATAGAATAATTGTACATATTTATGTGTCTAGAAAAGACTAAGAGAAATTATGATTATCCCAGTTTTTTCCTTCTGCTTTATGCTTTTCTATTTTTCCAAAATGCCTTTAATAAGCCAATAGTCAGAAAAATACTTCATTTAAAAATATGAATTTAATGCAGTTATATTTAACTGCAAGGAAATGTGATCATGTATATGTATATATGTAATGTACACTTATATAATAAGGAATAAGTATGTATAACATGGTAAACAAGAGAAGTTTAATTTTTGTAAATTGTCAGATAAGACTGAGCCCCACTCTGCAGTGAATTCTGCACCCGTTGTGCAGAAGACAGAGATGTCTGTCCGGTTCTTAAGGGTTTTCAGGAAAGGACAGATCTACAACCTCAGCAGGAGGATCTGCTCTGTGATGAATTACCTTTACTTCAAGTCAGCCTTCCTCAGTCTAACTTAAATTCCCTCCTGCTTCAAAAAAAAAGAAAAAACAGCCCACCATTATTCTCCCCGGAAATAAGTCTGGTGACGTGTTTCCAGGAACCCTCTGCAGACTTCAAAGTGGGTAGGCATTAGGTCCTTCCCTGTCTCTAACATCCCAGCCCTTCTCTCCTTTGCCCCCTCAAAATGCAAAATACTTCTATTAATCTGGCTTTTCAACACTTTCACATGATTGTCGCCTCCCTCTGGTCTCTTCCCAGGATCTCTGCGTCATTCTCCAAACAGGGTGCCTGAAATGACTCAGGAATGGACTCACTCGGCCGAAGTTAAAATGACTGAGCGGTTTACGTTGCGGGTTTGCAAAGTCGCCTCCTACTGATGTGTTCCCACATCACTGGCTTAAAAGAGAAGAGCATCTCCCTGTCAACAGGACTGCTGCCAGCTTCCCCGATAGCCTGGCATCAGGGGCCGCCTCGGTGTCCCTTATTAGCTGGCCTCCCGACTCTGATTCCTGGGTCCCTGTGCCCTTCTGCATTCAGGATGGCTGCATCACATTGTCCCTTTTACTTTGTGCCACTTGCCACTGTCATCAATCACTAACTGTCCCATGGAAAGAGCTGCCGCTGAGCTGGGTGGCAATTATAAGCAGCATCTCTAGAGGCACCACCTGCTGGCCCAGGATGGTCAGACACATTGGGCAGCTGGGCAAGGGGACTGACGCTGACACCAGCACTGCAAACAGATAGCATTTCTGTGAATGGGCAGGTGGACCCCATTCAAATGCAGAGCAGCTCATTTCAGAATGGTCAGGTTGAAACACACTCGCATGCGCACACACACACACAGCTTATTGTCGTGTTTGAAAACAAATTTAAAAAACATTTATGGAGTCAACAGACTGTGAGAGTTTTTTTTAATGAAATTAATTTGTAAAGGTTTCAAGATGTTAACAAATGATCAATGAGATTTTTTCGTAATTGATTTAAAAATTCATTAGGTACACAGTGTGGCTTTCTTATTAACTTTTACTTTAGCTTCCAGTTGGGGCTTTGTTGCACTTGAGTGGATCCAGGAAGAGGAATTCCTGTGGTCACCCAGGTTTGAGCCTCACCCTGGGACCCAGCCCTTTACTTCAAGTCTTTGGGCCAGGACCTTGACCCTGGGATAAGGGTTAGTTGCCTTTCATGCCAGGGAGGAGGTGCAGAGCAGAGAGGGGGCTTCAGGAGACCCAGTGAGTTCTCTAGGCACTACCTGATCCCATCTCATCTTCCCCAAAGTACCTCTCAGGGGTAGCTGGCAAATGTCAGGGTGGGGCACCCATACTCCCAAAGCCCACCCTTCCTCGGGTTAAGTGCAGGGCTGGTCTCGGCCTCCAGCCCACTCCAGAATCTCCCCATAACATCCTTCCATCCATCCACCCATCTAATAGTCACTGAGCACCCACAAAATACCAGGCACTTCACTGGGTGCTGAAATTTCACTCCCTATTTTTCTCTTTTCCCTTGTTTCTTTCTCTAGAAAGGGACAGAAGCAGGAGCCCGGTAGAAAGTGGGCTGCCAACTGGTGACCAGTGCTGCCATGACTTCCTGTCATTTTGGAGGGCAAGTCTACAGGCTTCTTTGAGATCCTGATAATGGAGGCCCCACTGCCCAGCATTCTCTACCCCATGTTGCTTTATTTTTCTTCATTGCACTTACTGTTCTTGACACGTTCTACATTTATTTGATTTAGCTTTTGGGATCGTTTCTCACTGCCAACCAGAATGTAAGCCCTGTATATGTAGAGATTTTATTTTGTTCACTGATGGGGCCTGGCATATGGCTGGCACTCAAAAGTATTTATTTTGGGTGGATGGATGGATGGATGGATGGATGGATGGATGGATAACTGAATGGATGGATGGATGATGGATGAAGGGAAGACAGGACATATTTCCTGCCCTGGTGGAGTTTTTAATTTTATAAAGAAGACTATGAATTAAAGAGTCATGAATGAAAACCTATGTACAATTGTGATTGCATCAAATGCCACAAGGAAGAAATACCCAGCATCACTGAAGAATTTAACAAAAGGCTTTGGCTTGATGTGGGGATGGGAGTGCTCACTCCAAGGAAGTGGGAAGTGGAGCAAGCAAAGGCCAGAGAGCGAGGTGGCGTCCACCAGAAGAGCAAACTGCCCTCTCTATATGGTTTTGGGTTGTGTAAACCTTGCCCCCTCTCTGCCTGCTTCTGCCCCAGAAAGATGTCACAGCACTTCATCGCAGGAGCCCGGGTTCTCAGAAGGCAGTGGGCTGCCCGATGGGGGACAGGACTCCCAGAGAACTGAGCCAAGAATCATGCTTCCCCCTTTCTTCTAATAACTGCCCAGATATCATGGACCACGGTGGGGTCACAAAACCAGACTGAAAATATAGCTTTAGCTAAATGGTGTGAGCTCGGATAGAGGTTCTTTCAAGACTGAAATAGAACTTTCAGGGACCTAGAAATCAACTGAATATCTCATCCTCCCCTGGAACTCCTTCAGTGGAGCACCCAGAATGATGTCAGCTCCCTTGGTTCAAATCCTTGCTCTTCTACCTCCCAGCTGTGTGACCTTGGGCTGCTTCACACGCCCCACGCTGTTTTGTCATCAGTGGGATGAAAACTGTGGTTGTAAAAGTGTTTCCTAACATAAGCTAGTAAGAACTTGACACATATTTACTGTTTTTGTGATTAGTGGTCAATGATTCTCACACACACACACAAAAGTGAATAGTTCTCTTGTTACCAATTGAAACACATTTGTCAATTCACTCAAAAAAATATAGCTGGTGGGTGTTCTCAATGTTCCATCACTGTGCTGGGCACAAGGCCACAAAGATGAATCTCAAGTGAGCCCTGCCTCCAGATAATGTAGAAACAGAGATTCGTGGGCAGTCACTGGCAGCACAGAGAGCTCTACATGAGGGCAGTAGAAGACCAGAGGGGAGTTCAGAAGAAGGCAAGAATACTTTAGCAGAGGGAATCCTGGAAGGCTTCTTGGAGGAGGTGAATCAGAATTCACCTACCTTAGTTTCCTGGGCTTTCATGGTCTGCAGTGGAGCTGCATCCTCAGGGCTGTATGACCTTTGTCCCTAGGCTCTTCCCAAAGACAAACCGGGAGGAGGGGTGGTAATGTAGCAGACAGGAACTATAGCAAATGCTCTCGGTGTCTCGTGTCATGTTCCCTCAGGCTGTCTCTGATGCCATCTGATTTCACCAAAAGCAATGGGCAGTCCTGTGCACACTGGCAGAGTCCTACCTCCAAGGGCATGACAAGTGTCTCCACCGTTTCTGCTTCAGAAACTTCTCCAAAGTCAAGGGACCTCATCGACCCGCCTGCAGGTGCAGTGGGGCACTGTGGGAAAGGAGGCACCTCTGGCCCAAACTTCAAGCAACAGAGGACAGAGCCTGTGAATAAGTACTCCAAAGTCCTCTCCTGTGGCAAGAAAATTCTGGAAGGCAGTCAGCAGGCTCACAGTTCGACCCTTGAGCCCTCGCTGCTCTACAGCAGTGACCTCAGTAACACGCCTTCATGCTGGCTCCGTCTCCTTCCTTCTTTGGCTTTCCCCAAACCCTCAACAACTGTCCATTTTACTCCTCATCATTATAATACCGAATTTGTATCAGAATATTGTAAATTGTATGATGCTGTCATAGCAAATACATAACAAAGTTTCAGTGGCTGAGCACGACAAACATTTATTCCTAGATCACGTGTCATGTCTATGTGGATAGGCAGGGGTCTGTTCTGGTTCTTCTCCCTCAGGGACCCAGACCAGCAGAGCCATCCCTTGGGAACACATCCAGCCTGGAACCGGAGCCGGGAAATGTGGCACATCAAGCCCCCATCTTAAGAGTTCTGCCAGGAAGTGACCCACATCACACTCTCCCCATCCCACCAGCCAAAGTAGTCACTTGTTTGGGCCCAAGTTCAGCAGGGATGGAAAGACATCCAAACCTTGTGCTTGGAAGGAGGAATGTGAGGCCACAAGTAGAGTGCCTTAATGACTGCATTATTCTCCCTAAAAAATGTCAACTCTGTGCCCCGTCCTCCGCTAGCAGCTCTGGGTTTGGGAACTTGGGGGACGTGGTGGAGCAGGAGATGGTGCAGAACAGAGAGCCTGCTACTCCCTTCTGGCCTCCCAGCCCTGGTCCCCACTGCTTCATGTGCAGGGGCCTCTCTCGCTGGGGCCCTGAATCTAATTCATTCTATAGGTCTCAGGCCAAACCTTACACTCTCAGAGATCTTAGCTGCCCTCCCCTCCCCAATTATCCACACAGAAGTCCCCTCTTCTCTCAACTCTCTCCATTCTTTCCTATTATAGGACTTACCACATTTGTAATTATATATTAATTTTTGTGCAGGTGTTTTTTGATAGTTCCCCCAATGACTATAAGCTCCATAAAAACTGAGACATATCTGTGTTTACACGGCTGCATCTCTAGCACCTAGCACAGGGTCACACGCACAGTAAATGCTCAGCACATACTGATCAAATGAATTAACATATTAGGGAAGCCAGAAATACATGCAATGAGCAGAAAAGAACTTAAAGGGATATAATAATCCTCATATTTGTATCATGCTTTTCATTCACACTGCCTTTTGTGAAACACAAAGATGTGTAAACTCTAGCACCTGAAGCACCTCCATACGAGTAGTTTTCTTTCCCATAATTCTGCTTACAACCCCACATCCCTGATACCTGGAAAAAGATTTTTATTCTCACCTTAGAGATGAGAAGTCTCAGAAAGGCAGAGTGACTTTCTCTGGTCACCTGGATGGTACTCTGGTTTGAGATCCTAACCTTTTCTCTCTACGTAACCCTTCCAAACACACGCTCTCACCAATTGTTCAGAACCTGTGTTGGTTGGTTAAATGTGGCCAGAATCCAAACATCAATCAGAACAGCTAAGGAACAGTGCAAACGAATTGAGTTCATGGTCTTGGTTGATTTTTTCCAGCAGATTCTTCCATTGCTTCTTCTAGAAAAAAAAAGTACATTTGGAAAAGGGCACAGGGTTTCCAGAAGGGAAGGTTCTGAGTGCCTTTGGGGTCAGCCCAACCTTAACGGTTTTATCCCAACTGCCGAATTCGGTCAGTTCTGCAGCTTGGCCACACCTGACTAGTCCAGCTCACCTTGCTGATGGCTCTAAGACCCCTAGGAGGGCACTCAGGAAGGGGGCGTGGCAACGCTGCCCTTGAGGAATTCCCGGCGCTGACGGAGAGGTGAAGCTCCGGTAAATGCTACGTCAGAGCCCAAGGGCGGAGTCAAGGGCGGAGTTTGGCTCACGCAGCCTCAGGAAGGCTGCCCCGAGGAGGCACGCCTGGGCTTTCCGGTTCTTCCTCAGCCCTGAGAAACAATCCTGGTTAGCTACAAAATCTCAACCCAAACTGGCTTAAAGGGGAATACAAGGGGAAATGTGGCTCGTGCCACTGAAAAGCCACAGAGTAAGGCTGGGTCCAGCTTCTCAAGGATCTGCGTCTCCACCTCAGCTGTTCTGTGACGGGCCTCCTGCATGTGGTGGCCCTGGTCGCTGCAGGCTTACCTGCTTGCAGCTCCAGGTCCCTGTAAAGCAAACGCTGCTTTCCAAGCATTCTGGCCAGAGCCTAGGATTCGCTCTGACTGGTTCTGATTGGGCCCCATTGAGACCAGAGCTATGTTCTGATTGGCCAGACCTGTCACATGCTCACCTGGAGCTTGGAGTTGGAATCAACTCCCACCATACCACGTAAACTGAGATCCTAGGAGCAAGGATTCTGCATGGAAAATTGGAGGCCATTACTGGAACAATGGGAACTGGCTGCTCAGCAGGACAAGCAAACACCTACCATATTATCCTGCTCTTAAAACTGAGAAGATTGAGGTCCTCAGAGATTAAGCAACTTCCTCCAAATCACACAGAGGTGTCCGTCTGGGAGAAATTTCCCGCATTGTTTAACCATCATGCTCTAAATAGTATCCATGATTCTGGGCCACCTCCTGCTATGTCCTCAAAAATCACCATTTCTGTCTGCATTCTTAGGAGACAGGTTCTGAGAAGGATCCTTGTAACTCATTGGGCTTTAGTCTGAATAACCACACCATCTGCCTTGTGGGCTAAAGAAAGCTCCACATCCTTCTCCATGAATAGAGCTCAGAGCCATCCTCCCTCCACCCCCCTTTTTTTCCTTTTTATTCTTGGTAGGAATTGAAACATTAGTGTAGTAACTATTAGTTTCAAGGAAAAATTGTAATTGCTTCTAGATCCACTCAGTGGCTTCAAGAGCGCTTTAACCTTTAACTTTTTCAGTACAAAAGGTTTGCTGTGCAGTGAATCTAACAAGACCATCATTTATCGCTGACAGAGTTCATTAGTCAATTGTAACAGTTTAATTATTAGCATTTTAATACATGAGCATTTAACTAGACAGAACAACAAGCTTTGGTGTACAGAACAAGACATCTTAAATGGAGCTGAATTAGCCCACACAATTGTTTGTACTGTGGTATGTTATTAAAACAAGACGATTAAAATGCAAGAAACAAATAGATCCGTATATTTAGCCAACAAACCAGAATTTGGTCTCCTGGTATCGGGATCATGCTTTTTTTTTTAAGCCTGAATTCTGTATTTTAAAATCTTTGTGTTATTTTTCCTGCTCCAAATTACAGACTAAAATGATAGAAAGAGAATCCACTTTGATGGGCAGTTTTAATAAATAAGGAAGCCTGGGATACAAATGGGTGTGAGTGCCCCTTGGCCCCCAATTCTGGCTGCACAGATCACCTGCAGGGCTCTTTAAACTGCTCCACCCAGGCTGCACCTACAGGGAATCTGACTTTCTGACTCCAGAGTGTTTTTGTTTCTTTTTAAAGTCCTCATGCCATTCTAACAAGCAGTCGGGGTGGGACCTGGGCCCTGCCTCTGTGATATGGTGGGTCACTTACCCACATTTGTCAAATAAAAATGGAGCACTATTTGCAAACGCCAAGAAGTACAAACAATCCAAATGTCCATCAACAGACGAATGGAGAAACTAAATGTGGTGTATACATCCATTGGAATATTATTCAGCCTGAAAAAGGAACCGAATTCTATGCCTGCTACAATACAGATAACCTGAAGCCCTTATACTAAGTGGAAGACGTTGGATGCAAAAGGACAGATATTGTATTATTTCGTTTATATGAGGTACCTAGAATAGTCAAATTCATAGAGATGGAAAGTAGACTCAGGTTACTGAGGTCTGGGGAGAGGGGAGAATGGAGAGTTATTGCCTGAAGGGTCTAGAGTTTTTGTTTGAGGTGATGGATAAGTTCTGGAGATGGATGGTGTTGATGGCTGCACAATGTTGCAAGTGCACTCAATACCACTGAGTTGTACACTTAAAAACAGTAAAAATGGTAAATTGCATGTTATACATATTTTACCACAATAAAATAAGGAAAAAAAAGAGAATAAAGCTTGCCATATTCACATTGTACAATCAATGTGTGTTATCAGATGAGATCGTGGATAGAAGTCTTTTATAAGCTTAAAATGATATTCACATTTAAGGTGGTAGTAATATTCTTTAATTATTTGTTTTAATCATATTGTTTTAATAAGAGGCTACAATATAAACAGCTGAGAAGGTTAATTAAAAATGTCAAACCTAAACAAGTGTAATTAATGTCACTCAGCAAAGGCCTTCACTAGACTCAAAACATATTTTCTCCTGGGGGTAATCATGGCCTGATTTTTCTAAACAGTTTCTCCTTTGACTGGGAAGCAGGGACTGTTAGAGAAGATGGGAAGGCTTGTATTTCTCACTTGAGGCTAGGTTTTCATAGCGTGGCCTCAGACGTCATTGGTGGTACCCCCGTTCTGGCCTCCTAGAAGAGGTCTGCCAGTCCTACAGTGGCCTCTCCTGGCACACACCGAATGGACCACGTGTAACAAGGAGCAGTTGTAAGAGCCAGTGTTCATTGAATCTTTCCTAAATGCCAGGCTTCTGATGGAAATAATGGCTGGAAATAGCTGGAAGGATGGAGGGGCAGAGAAAAGGTGTCAAAACGCCTCCCATGGCCAGGCAAGAACCAATTCAGAATCCTAAAGAACTTTGTATTAGTTCTTTGCTTTGGATTCAAGTAATGGAATCCAGCCCACAGAGTCTGTGGGTTGATGGGGGTTTGGACCTGACCCCTAGACTGTGAAGACATCACTTGCCCCTCAGTGAACAGAGAGAATCTCCTTTTCCCCTCTCTCCTCTCCACCATCCTTTTTGGTTCTTTCAACCTCTTGTCCTCCCACCCCCACCCCTCATGCCTCAAGATCCTGCAAAGCAAAGAAGGAAAAGGGAAGAGGTCCCAGGATGCTCTGCCTCTGGGTTCATTGGAAGGTTAGACTGGAAAGAAGGGTTCTTGGACCTTTTTGTACAGGAGGAGATTATGAGTCCTGCTTAGCTTGAGTTGTAAGCTATGGATGTAGCAATTCCTTCCTGTTTACATGAGGACAGCCAGCCTCCTGGAAGAATGGGATTGGTGGATAGGTGAGGGGGAACACATCCTGCCATGTTTTATTTATTTAGATTAATTTAAATGGTGCCTTTCGACTTACTTCCTAAAGAGTTTAACATAGCTTGCAAAATTGGATATACTATAGCAAGATAAAATAATTTGATTAAGAAAGAAAATGAGGTGGGATATAGTCAGGGATAAAGGTAAAAACCACATCATACCATATGGGATAAAGAAAGGGATTGGGGGGTGATTTACCAAGGATATATAAGAAAAGGATCAATCTCATCTCATTCTATCTAGAAGAGTGTCAGGGCCCAGGCAAGGCTGCTGAGCACACAGTTGGTCTGCATTCCAGGAGAGGGTGAATTCTGCTGGTCTGTACTCTTACCATGTAAGCATGGGAATGATTCTATTGAACTTGGGGACAAACAGAGTACTTAGATGACTGAGTTTAAATGTCAACTGTTTGTTGCAATTGCTGGGAAATGCCACTACTCAACACTTGGACACCCTGGGGGCCCTCTGATGGAGGGGTGGCTCTGGCCAGTTAAGGTGGTAACTCCCCCACTGCACATGGAAAATCTTCAGCAAGCTCACTGCCAGAGATGATCAGCCAGAGTGATTTTCAGCCAACCCTGCTTGTCCCTCCACTTGAAGAGAAATTTTTTGACCAAGCCAAGAAAGAAGTTAAATCATAGAGTGGAAGCGACAGTCTTCCATATTGTAAAAGTGAATCTCAGATGTCAAGATGAATTTTCCAACAACGAATGCAGAGGGAGAAATATGATTATATTCATGAAGTAAAAATTAGCCTAAGCATAGAGGGTATTATGCTCAGTGAAATAAGCCAGGCAGAGAAAGACAAGTATCAAATGATTTCACTCATCTGTGGAGTTTAAGAACAAAGAAAAAACTGAAGGAGCTAAACAGCAGCAGAATCAGAGAACCCAAGAATGGACTAACATTTGCTAAAGGGAAAGGCACCAGGGAGGATGGGTGGGAAGGGAGGGATAAGGGGGGAAATGGGGCATTAGATTAGCACATATAATGTAGCAGGGGTGGGGACACGGGAAAGGCAGTATAACACAGAGAAGACAAGTAATGACTCTATAGCATCTTACTACGCTGATGGACAGTGACTGTAATGGGATATGTGGTGGGGACTTGATAATAGGGGGAGTCTAGTAACCCTAATGTTGTTCAAGTAATTTTACTCTAAAGATACCAAAAAAAATTAGCCTAAGCAAAGCTCAGTTATTTCTAATCTTAAAACCAGAATTTCCCCCATGAATCCCCATGGAAAGTTCTAGGGGTGATGTAAGACACACCATCCTCAACAGACTCTAATAATTTCACATGGTTTTTCTAATGATACTACTCAAGGGCATGTGTGCATCTGCCTTAATTTAAGAGTACATTTTAGCGCCGTACTTGCTAATGCAGTAGCCATTAGCTACTGTAGCTACTTAAATTAAATTACACTTAAAATGCATTTCTCAGTCATACTAACCACACTTCAAGTGCTCAGTAGCCACATATAGTTAGGGGTTACCATATTGGACAGCACAGATGTAGAGAACTTCCATCAGAATGTTCGATTTGACACTAATGTTTTAGGTGTTCTGGGGTTTTAAGGATGAATTACACACCCATCAGACAGTTTGCTCAAAGTATTATGTCCCTTAGTATATATAACCTTTGATGATGAGTGGCAATGAGTTTTTCTTCCCCATCAGGTACCTGCTATTTCAGGTTGCCTGTGGGGTCCACAGATTCATGCTTTAACCATGAGATGATCAGGAAAAAGGCTCTTTAGTGTCCGCCTGTTAAAAACAGAGGGGGGTGGTTTGACTAGAGCAGCTGCCTGTAAGGAGGATGGTCCCACTTCCGCTTGCGGGTGAGCCATGGAGAACCTATTCTCCTATTCTGTACTTAGGACCCAGAGGAATGACTGGCAAGTAGTATGTACTCAGGAAAGGCATGGAATAATACAACCCACTTTAGCTCCCACTTCAGAGCATCTCTGTAAAGATGTGCAGATCGGAAAAAGGGGGAAGGGAGGAAACTAGAAGAGAAAGGTCCTGGTGTGCAAAACAGAGGACCACTCTGAGGAATCGGAGATAATACTTTCTCAAGA